CCAAAGTTTGGGGACTTCCAACGCTTGAGAGTCCTTGGAAACTGAATGTATTTTTTGTGCCTTTAATCAACGTTTTTCTGAAAAATCGAGAGAGAAACGTGTTTTGAAATGGGGATAAAATTATTGTATAGAGTGGTAGAGCCAAAAAAAAAAACAAGAATTTGCTCAAAAATTGCCAGATTGTCAGAAAAATGCCAATGTCTTCGTTTTCATTATTTTTGACAAGCGCCTGATTTCACCGCGATGCCTCACAATTAAATTATGATGACATAATCCTGTCTTAGATGTCTATGCGTGTGGTTGGAGGGCGCCACAGGTAGGTCGGATCCTACTTCTTTGTAGGCTTATCTATTGTTTCTGTATTTCTGTCTTAGGCTTCGTCCTCCCTTCAATATCTGCCCATTATTGTGTCAGTGCGCTTCTCTTTACTCAAACTCGAGAATCTACTGTCAAAGACAAACATTTTTTCTCTTCAAGATTGTCTTGGACAAATTTGACAGGTACATCTGCATTGATAATACAAAAATTAAGTTTGGGTGTACAAGCTGCTTAAGTTGACACTCGTAACAGTACGCATTTTGGCGTGGTTAACTCACTCTTTTATTTTAAACCTTTTTCATTTTAGTGTAGGTGTGTTTTCCGCCCTATCGACATATTTTATGTCATATTGAGGTCAGTCCTGGCGCGCTTATGACCTCATGCAGTTGCGAGAGCCGTAAAACCCTCTACTATAATATTATATTGAGGTCACTTACATAATGTGGCAGCTGGAAGCGCCTGCATATGAAGTTTCTTAATGGTAACTTTTGGGACAAAATTTCACTGGGTGCTAAAATGTTTAGGGCTATGTTACGCAAAATATGGTCAGTACCAGGATTAATTCTTGAAGAAGAGACGCATTATGACTTTATCTTTCGTTGACAAGAGAATCACGTCCTGCCGCGTGAGGAAGCGTTCATAATAATATAATCAAATAATCACAGCTTCCCTTCCTAATTTTGGAACATCGTGACAGTCAAATTCACCCAAAGACGTGCTGTAGGTCTCAAAAACTAAACGTAAATAGACGTTCATAATCACAAATGAAACAGTAGCGTATGCCTAACAATACATTCAAAACTGTATCATTGCCACAGAAATACCCTGTTCACCCCTATAGGACCACTCCATAGGCTGTCACAAGCTCTGATTGTATAAGCTGGCTATTACACTGGTCGAGTCTACCTCGATCACAAAGGTGAGGGGAACTCAAATAATCTCGTGCATGCACTGCTGCTGTGAGTGCTTTTTCCCCCCTTTTCTCTCTCCCCCCCCCCCCCCCCCCCCTCTTTTTTTACAGGGAACCGTCCTATAATCAGATCGTGACCTCGAACGAAATAACACACAAACTGGAGAAGCAGAGATGACAACTGTGAGTGGTTGGCGGGTGCTCTGATGTGGTTTGCTTCTTCTTTCCTATCAAACAACTATCGTCCTTATCTGTCCTTCTTCTTTTTTATGTTTGTTACTCTCTTGTAACTCCTCTAATCTCATGGCGCTCATATATGACCTTATGCAGTTGCGAGCGCTGTAAAACCTCTACTAATTAAGTACAAGAGATGACAATACTACAAGTAGCCTAATACATGTCAACTATCAATTTGATTTAAAATTTGGCTGTCTTTGTCTCGTCTTTCGACGCCAGGAGCCGGTGCATATCTGAGTCACTCGAATCTGATTGGCGGTTTAGAAAAGTTGAGAAAAAGAATACAAAAAACAAGTACTCACAGAGGTCATGGGATTATTAGAAGCTAGTTCCCCTCCCGTTTGTGAAGTAGACTCAACCAGTATAATTAATCAGTGCTTGTGACGGCTATTACTGTGGTCCGAAAGGGGTGAACAGGGTATTTATGTAGCTCAGATTCCCACGCTGTCCGACGATTTGCCGACAGTGTCCGACGATTTGCCGACACTGTCCGACGATTTGCCGGCACTGTCCGACAATTTGCCGACATTGTCCGACGATCTGCAGACTTGTAGCCGATGCTCTGCCGATCAAATTTGCTTCACTATTTTTCATCTCGCCTGACACAAGTAGGCCTACGAGCAATTGGTTCCCAGCCAGCATAACTGTGTCGGCCCGACGTCATTTTGATGTCGGACATTTCTCTATCGTCCTTATATTATTCTGCCCTTGGTAGATTCCTGATGACTGGCTTATTTTCATTCGTTGTAATAGAGTTTTATTTATTTTAATGCCCCCTTAGAATCAACTCAGATCATTTGGCCCCCTTAAAATCAACTTAGATCTTTTGGGAGTGCTGTGCCTATCGGGGCCAGTATAATAGCCTGAGAGAAGGTGGTGCACAGTATTGTAGCTTATTGTTGTCCTGTACAAAGTGGGCTTTTCTGTTTTTGGTTGTTGTTTTTTTCGAAAGTTTTACGGCACTTGCAACATAATAAAGTCATACAACAAGTGCCAAAGATTAGAGGTGTTACAAAGAGAGAAACAAACAGGAAAAAAGGAGGAGAGGTAAGGATATAGAAGAATATAATACATGCATAAGTTTGATAGGAAAGAAGGAGCAGACCACACCAGAACACCCGCCAAACACCCACCCTAGAAAGTTTACAGTTCTTGATAAATTATGATATGATCAAGTAGACTTTCCCGCATGGGAATTCATCTCGTGTTTTTCTTCTTTATTTTAGATTTAAGTTTTAGTAAGGTTTTTTTACAGCACTTGCAACACAATAAGGTCATACAAGTGCCGAAGATTACAGGTGTTACAAGAGAGTAACATTAGAAACAAGCCCCAAAAAAGGAGGGGAGAAAAAGACGATAGATGTGATAGGAACGAAGAAGCAAACCATACCAGAGCACCCGCCAACCATCCACTGTTTTTCTTCAACGAGGAAGAGGCTTACCATTCCTTCAGACAGCTTGCTACCTCAGCATTATTAGGTGAAGAAAGTGTAAAATTCAAATATCTCAAATCATTATAAAAACTACCCCGCACCCCATGTTGCCCTTAATAAAACAAGAAGTTAGCCACTTGAATTATTAAAATCGGACAATAATTGAATTTTTTGTGATTTTTTGAAATTTTGATTTTTATTAACAACATGAAATACAACAAAAATTCGATTTTCAAAGGTCCATAATTTTCAAAAAAGTACAATCAGACAATAAATAATCATATTTTTCGAAACAACAGTATACATATATTGCATTACTTAAATATTACCATGATTGGCCAGTTATAAGAGGAGATATTATAAACATAAATCAAAGTCTGCAAAAAAATACTTATTCATCGTCAAAATTTGCCAATCGGTGGCACAGAGTCCATTTTCAAGGTGGTCTCAGAAAAAAAGTATTGATCCCTATTAGATAAAAACTTCTGTGATGATTGACATAAATACAGACATTATGTCTAATTTTTTTCAGACATGTAATAGATGATACAGTCAGACTACAATATCATTCAATGTGCTTTGAAATTATACAAAGCTCTGTCTGACATTTTTGGCCGTTTTGTTGAGCTAGTTACTAAGACCATGAGGTCAGAAACCAAAAGCTCTATCCGCTCTATCAAAATCGTAAGATTATTTGGAGTCTTTATCAAGATATTCAATTAATTGCATTCGAAAAAGCTTGACAAGTGAAACTAAAAATTTTGACATCAAATTTCTCAAAACTAGGCACTGGTGAAAAGATGAAATGGTATGGGTTTCACGCCCCTATCAACACTAATACTATTAGTAATAGGTTATTTAAAAGGCGGGACCTCCTAGTTTAACGTCCGTCTCCGATAGGACCGAGCCAAGTGGGAAGTTTGTGTAAAGTGCCTTTCCCAAGGACACAACGCCGGACCGAGCTGAGGTTCGAACCCCCAAATCCGCAATCTCACGATTACGAGTCCGGTAGCCTAACCAATAGGCTACCGACGCCACCAACTAGACACTGAGCAGATGGAACTATGTAATTCTTGGGTAGCGACCTGTCTACTGACTGTAGTAACCCTGGCAAGCTTGAATGAAGGATTTCTTTTTTGCTTTTGTTTTTTAAGTAAAGAGAAGCACATCATAGACATAGTAAAGATCATTTAGTGCTGGGAAAAAGAAAGACAGACAGACAGACAGAAACAACAGAGGGGAAAGTAAAGAAGTAGGACATACCAGTTGCACCCTCCAAATCCATCCACCTGCTTGAATGAGGGAAAATTCTAATAGTGTGTTTGAGTTTGTTTGTTTTTTCTTAAGTAAAGAGAAATACATTGGCCCGATAATGGTCATTCAGTGCAGTGGGAAAAGCAAGACAGACCAACACAATCAACAGAATTAATGAAAGAAAAAGACCCACCAGAGACACCTTCCTTCCAACCATCCAAAAAATGTTTGTAGAATCAGAACTGTATAAATCTTATAAATCTTTTTTTTAAAATGTACAATTGTAGGTGTTTTTATGCGACTATCAACTCAAAATTAGATCATCTATGAGGTGGGCTCCAACCCTGCCAATCTCGGCCAAGAGGGATACCATGCGCAACTTTTTTGAGCAGAAAAATCGAGACATTCAATGAAAATTCTCCCTACTTGGAATTCCAACTCGGGCCTCGTGCCAGTGATGGCAAAGCGCCTAAGTGATTTTCAGTTTTTCCAAGGCTGCAGCTGAAGCCTACTCTTATCAATTTTAGGACCACCAAGGGATCTTTAACTTGTGCAACTTGCATACCTCCAAGATTTTTTCGCCCTTATCCGAGACCAGGAGTGTGGCTGAAAGACAGCAGTAAAGAGCCAAGAAGAAGCAGTAGAAAACAGATGACTGAGCCAGGAGCACAGAGTCGGGGAAACAGGTGGGGGGGAAGGGGACAGAAAGTGGAGACAAAAAGCAGATGACAGAACATGATTAGTAGAGAGCTGGAAAAGTGAAAGGAGAAATTTTCTTTAGAGAAGAAACAACAAATTATGACAGCCACTACATAAAGTATATTGCTACTAAACACCAAAAGTCAGCGATGATAACGAAAAGATGTTTATTTACATGAATGAAAACATTATAAACATTTGACACATCTACTTCGAAGATATGCCTTTCTTCTTCTCCTCTATGTGCTTGACCAATGTCTGCTGTAGGACCGGGTACAGTTTCTGGCAGTTGTCGATCACCGTTCGTACAGTCTGTGGATAGAAAGAAGAAAAAAAAGATATGGCGGGTTTTTTAAAGTTTAGTTTTAGTAAGAGTTTAACAGCACTAGCAACACAATAAGGTCATATCAGTGCCGAAGATTAGAGGTGTTACAAGAGAGTAACAAACACAAAAAAGAAGGAGGGGAGATAGAGATGATAGATTTTTTATAGGAAAGAAGGAGCAAACCACACCAGAGCACCCACCAACCACCCATGTTTTGGTTTTTTTAAGAGGGAAGACATGGAATAACATAAAAAGGCTAGCCCAAGACAGGGAAAGGTGGAAAGTGTTTTTTTGAGGCCTATAGCCTGACCCAGGGTGAGAAAGGCAATGAAGATGATGATGAAGAGTTTTACAGCACTTGTAACACAATAAAGTCATATAAATACAGAAAATTACAAACATAAAAAAGAGGGAGGTGAGATAAGGACAACTGATGTTTGATAGGGACAAAGGAGGAAACCACACCAGAGCACCCACCAACAGATAATGAGATACGGGGTACAAGACTCATCACTCAATGCACGAAAAAAGGAAAGTTTTTCTTTTGGTCACCCTGCAAACTGTCCCGTGGTTTTATGCAAGAACAATTTTGAAATTATGCAAACTGAGCCCAAAAATGTGAAATTATGCGATTCTGTTAATTTTAACAAAGAATGATAAAGGAAAATAATCAGAAACTATGGAAAAAAAAAAGATCAAATTTTGCCAAATTATGCGGGGTGCATAAAACCATGGGGACAGTGCAAAGTTCACTTTATCAGACTTAATCATTTTTCTCCACGAGACAGGTCAAACTTTTTTTCGTTTTAAAAAAAAGAAAAAGAAAAATAATTTTTAAAAACTATTAACCCCCCCCTCCCCCCCAAACCCCCCCCCCCCCCACTTTATTTGTCCTAGCATGGAAATTAAAGTAAAATGACATCTGAGGCAGTAAACCTGAGAATGTACAGGGCAAAACTTACTTTGTTCAGAGTGTCAAACTGAATTCCTCCGTCGGACGTGATTGCAGAGACTTGGTTGATGGAAGGCATGAACGCCACCGTCAGCATACCTGAACTACCTTTTCCCTGGAACAAGAAAAGAAAACAGCGATGGTTTCAGGATTTATACCTACAATAAAGAAAATTGTGATGGTTTCAGGATTTATACCTACAATAAAGAAAATTGTGATGGTTTCAGGATTTATACCTACAATAAAGAAAATTGTGATGGTTTCAGGATTTATACCTACAATAAAGAAAATTGTGATGTTTCCAGGATTCATACCTACAAAAAAGAAAATTGCGATGGTTTCAGGATTCATACATACAAGAAAGAAAATTGTGATGGTTTCAGGATTCATACATACAAAAAAGAAAATTGTGATGGTTTCAGGATTCATACTTGACCAAACCAGGAAAGATCGAAGCCTGTTACGGTACGGATTAGCGAGGCACCGATGGTAAATCTCTAGCGTGGTGACAGGTGACTTGAACTAAAGAACAAACAGGCGGCTCGAAGACCAAACTTCAATTTCCAAGAGGGAAGCAAGACTGCTACCTGTCTAATAGAACCACCATTCTCCTCCAAAATAGGGGGCCATCTTTAAACATTTCAACTGTCAATACAATTTAGGAGCTGAGACGGTTCATATAATCTATTTTCAAAAAAGGAGTGAAAGAACTATTGTAAACTTCTGAGCTTACACATCCCTTGGGAAAAACTAATGTGTCACGACGTGGTGGAATCAGACGCTCGTCAATTTTTGGGCATATGGAGCTATTGGTATCATTTTAAAACTTGTTCCTTTGTCTTGCTTTCGATGACAGAAATACCTGTCTGTCTTGAATAGAAGTCGAGATATTTGCCATTGAAGGAGGCGGGGGACGCCTTTAAAATTAGCGAGAAAATGGCCGCCAAAGTTTGGCAACTTCGTGAAAATTTACATTTTCTGAGCCTTAACTCAACAGTTTTCAGTAAAATCTACACAAAAATGTGTTTTTAAACGGACATTGAAAGCGATGAGCCAAAAATTTTTTTTAATGGATAAATTTTGCTAAACCAGCAGAAAAACGCTGCCTTTTTCGATTTCAATATTTTGACGAGCGCCTGATGTCCCCACGATGCCTCACTACGAGAAACTTACGACACGGCTCAGAACTGCTTGTTCTTCCTGCACTGTGGGATCCGAGATGGTCAAGTCGTTGTACATCGCCTGGGAAGAGATATTCAAAAACGCAACATGAGACAAGTGGAGGGTTATAATAATATGGGAGGAAGAGAAAAAGAGAAAAAGGACTGCAGTCATTATTGGGACCTCTACGCGGTGCTGCAGACCCCGGAACAAGTATAGCTCCGGGCCGAACGCCAATCAACCCCTGGATTCAGACAGGTACGGAGGCGACCGAGTTTTTGTCTGGAGGCTCAGCCGAACCAACTGGGCCTGGATGTACTTTGGACGAGGCCACAAGAGGTTGCCGCTTACCAGTCTGCCTGCGGCAGACTGCCGCCCTCCTAACGGAGGCCAGCCAGAAGAAGAAGAAGAAGAAGAAGAAGAAGAAGAGAAAAAGGAGAAAACAAGGGGGCTTTTAGTTTTAGTAAGAGTTTTACGGCACTTGCAACACACATAAGGTCATATAAATGCCAAAGATTAAGATTAGAGGTGTTACAAGAGAGTAACAAACACAAAAAAAAAGATGTGGGGAGATAAAGACGAATAAATGTCTGATAGGGAAGAAGAAACAAACCACACCAGAGCACCCGCCAACCACCCGCAACAAGGGGGCAAAAGTAACAAGGCGAGGGGGTGGAGGGTGAGGTGGGGGTGTGTGTGCTGAAGGGTGATTTTAAAAAAACATACAAATTAAGATTCTGGAACTTTCAAGTCATTAAACATGGCTGTTGCAATAAAAGAAGTGCTGCTACACTTTCACAAACAAAAAGCAATCAAAACATTTTGGGGCAAACAACAACCACCAACACCCCCCCCCCCCCCCTCTCCCTTTCTGGGGATGAAAAACATACTTCTTTGAATAAAGAAAAGTTCATCCACGTGGGCAGCTGGCGGGTTTGTCCAGTCTTTTTTATCATACATATACATCTTCCCTATCTCCCCTCCTTTTTCTGTGTTTGTTACTCTCTTGTTACACCTCTAATATTCAACATTTATATGACCTAATTGCGTTGCAAGTGCTGTAAAAACTCTCACTAAAACTTACCTGAAGCACATCAAACTCACTCACTACCCTCAAGAACGAGGAAGAAGAAGAAGAAGAACTCACTACCAGCCATTTTCCATTTTTGGTGTCGCTATTCCCTGTGTACCAGACACTTTAGGGGTAATTTGTAAAATCACGGAGCGTATGCTAATTAACATAGAGACTTGAAATGAGGACCATTGTGTTTGAACACAGTAAAGATTTGCCCTGATAAAATTACAGCTTTGTTTTATTGTTACTTTTTTTTTTCACAAGTTTTCAAAAATTGGTCAAAAACTGCTTTCCCTTTGCCTTTCTTACTCACGCCTTTCCCCACCACTGCAAATTTCTCCACCCAGTTCGTCATAACAATCTTCGACCAATTCATCCGTTTCTGAGACACTTTCGTCGTCAAAGGTTAAAAAACTGTCAAGGACAAGCGACCTGTAATTGTGGGAAACGTAATGGTAAATTCAGTTCTAATGGCTAATGGCAGGTGTCGGAAAAGTCAATAACTCAATTGCACCTGTCTAATTTCGGTTTCGTTTCTTTTTAATGTAAGATAATTGAATGGGCTACGAGAAAGACAAACCAGTACCGCAAACGGTGCGGTTTTAACGTGAGAAAAAAAATTCCAAAAAGCGAAACCGCAAGGGTAACGGGTGTGACATCACAATATCGGAGCTATTTTACCCGCAACAGTTGAGGGTGCGGTAGTGAGTGAGTTAGAAAACTTAATCAATATGTACGACAACCACCCTCCAGCCACTCACGGCAGACGACGCGATGACCAGGTCGTACATCTCCACTCCCGCAGACGCCAGGGCCAGAGACGCACACAGGATTCCCGCCGACAGAACTGGGGAACGCAAAAGTATACCGATTACTTGTCTGCCAACTACACTGTACAAGACTCAGACACCCCCACCTTCCATTGTGTTTGGTTCCGACGGAGAGATGGACATAAAATTTATCATAAGCTTTCAAAAACAATCTGTAACACCTGTACTTCCTACCAAAGTTTTGAAAACTTTCACCATACCTTACAAACGTTCATTACTGCTAAACAGTGAACAAAAAAACCTAACTTTCGCTCCTGCCCTCCAAGTATACGAAACCAGTTGTAACAAAAAGTCGGAGAACAGAAATTATGTTATGAAAACCATCAGAGTAAAATACTCTGTATACAAAGTCACGAGTTAACAAGGTGTTTCAAACACTGATACATGCACAGATATACACATAAATGATGACTTTCAGAAGCCAAAAAACCTAGAACCTCATTTCTCTCAAACGAACATACTGGCTTTACATTACTTACACCAGAAAAAAAAAATTCACTGCGGAAAAAAAAAAGTATGTTGAGAAAAGAAATAGGACGTACTACATTATTCACCACTCACCGGAGCCATCGTGCTGTAAAACTGTCACATAAACGTTGATCTGGGACTTGGGATACTTGTGCTGAAAAGGAATTGTAAAAATTATAATCTTCAGTTTTAGTAGTAGAGGTTTTACGGAGGTCATATGAGCGCCAAAAGATTAGAGGTGTTACAAGAGAGTAACAAACATAAAAAAGAAGAAGGGGAGATAAGGATGATAGATGTTCGATAGGAAAGAAGAAGCAAACCACACCAGAGCACCCGCCAACCACCCACTATAATCTTCAGAAAATCCTGACACAGAAAGCAAACATTATATAAAGCCAATACAATGCCAATATCATTATAATAATGCTGTAATTAACACATAATGTCACTTTAAACAAAGTCACCAACCATTGAAAGTTTTTTTTCAGTTGGGGTTTAAGAAATCAGAATTGAAAATTTTTCATTAATAATGAGGTTCCTAGTTTTTCAAAGAGCTCAAAAACAAACGCTGCCAAACACCCAGAATAGCCTGGGCAGATCTAGAGATTATGTGTTACAAGAGAGTCGCAAAACATACAAAAGAAGGAGGAAAGATAAGGAAGATAGATGTTAGATAGGAAAGAAGGAGCAAACCACACCAGAGCACCCCCCAACCACAGTCCTACCCGTGGCATTCTATTAAAAAAACAATTCCAGTCAGGCAGTTGACAGGTAAAAACAATTTTAAAAAGACAAACAAACAAATAAACAAAAAACAAAACAAAAAAAAAAAAGATATCCTAACAATTCATCGACTCTTTTACCAAGCAGACAGCTGGCTCCAGGGCTTCCAACATCTGCACAGACAAGTCTTTCTCCTGATTGCCCTGCTGATGCTGTCGACGATGCTGGCTGGCGAAAGTGGCAAATCGAAACTGGCAGGTCAGCTGACCCTTCAGGCTGAAATCCTCCCGCCGCTGGACCTCTCGCGGGCCGTAGCTGGAGAGAAGTTGTTGGAGTTTGAGATTTAGTTGTATTTAGGGTTTTTTTAGTAAGAGTTTTACTGCACTTGCCACACAATAAGGTCATATAAGTGCAGGAGATTAGATGTGTTACAAGAGAGTAACAAACACATCCTGGTTCAAATCCAATGAGGCAGGTTTTTTAAAAATCTTTAGTTGTATGGGGAGGGCTAAATAAAGGCCCTCCGTCCACATAACTCTGCTCTAAGGCCCTCCGTCCACACAACTCTGCTCTAAGGCCCTCCGTCCACACAACTCTGCTCTAAGGCCCTCCGTCCACACAACTCTGCTCTATCAGAGATGGATGTAAGATTCGGAGGTCACACCTCATAAAGAATCTCAGCTATACATACAGGAAGTCATACACTGCTACAAGCCTGCACAATGCTCGAGGCACTTGGAAGGAGACATCGGCCTAACCCAAGACAGGAGCACTCAAAGCTTTACTGGAGCCTGGAGGATCTGCAGCGAAGAGCAGCCTTCGCACTAGCGACTGGAATGTGCATTAAGAGACGAACGAGAAGAAGATAAAAAAGAACCTGGAATCATTAACCCCTTCGTGACAGCTCCTGCACGCCTGTACATCCAACATTGTGTACCAAGATGCCCTCCTCCTGTACAATATACGTCCTAAATTCATCCGATTACGGCAATTGCATGAACCTTACTACGTACACACGTACACCGTTTGTGATTTTATAACTGCACTACAATAGCTTTGACCGGAATTTTACCGAAAAATTGGGTGCAGTAAAAGTTGGAAAAAAAACCCCGTCACAACTTGGTTAAAGAGGGTATTGCATTAATACCATACCATAAGATTATAATAGTCTTAGGAAGCCCACTCAAAACACACACAACTCTTACTCACACGGCACAAATCGCCTTTGTCTGATTCATTTCTATGTAGGCTGAGCCTCTCGCCTGGCTGATGACGCCAGCTCGGAGAACTGTAGAAAACAAAACACATTTTTTATGCAGCACAACTCAACGTTAAAGTGCTGCTTATAAATGAAGTAGGCAAGGGAAATGTTTGCCGAGTTCGAAAGGCAACCACATGACATGTGTACTATTATCCACAATCCCCATCATAGTTTTAATGCTTCGTTATAAATTTTTTACCCTTTATCTGCACAAAAAAGGGGGGGGGGGGGGGGGGAACCCTCTCTGTCAAAGATTTTAAAAATAAAAAGTAAGCAATTCTAAGGAAGGGCAGGGACATGAAGCGAAAACGCTCTGATAGCATTTGTTTGTTTGAGTAAAGAGAGGCACAATGACACAATAATTGTCATGTGCTGGGATCAAGTAAGACAGACAACACAAAAACAGCAAGGGAAAGTAACAAAGTAGGACCTACCCACGGTACCCTCCAATTACCCCTGATAGTGATATCGACTAGGACTATATCAGAAACAAAACAATTGAAGAAAGCACATACAACTAAACTAAAAATAAAAGAATACATTTTTTTACAAGACCCAAGTCCAACTCAAAATTTGTGGACAACATTCAACACTTCAGCATCAAGCTGTACCAAAAAATTGCTTCTAAAAAATTCATTAAAAACAATTATAACTCCCTTGAAAATCTGAGTTACAATGTACAAAATCCACAAATGAATGCTCTGCAGAAAAGACAAATATTAGAAAATATAAATTCATTTTCGTTTTTCCAAACTTGAACTCGGGGGTTCTCGTGGCCTAGAGGTTAAGGTGTTTGCATCTCATTCAAAGGTCATGGGCTCGAATCCGGGTAGCGAGGGAAAAGTTTTTTTCTCTAAAAAAATGGTCTCATTTCACCTCCTTTCCTGTTCTCTAGCAATTTTCTGTCGTCTGCTTTCATCTCCACTTTCTGCCCCGACCCCCTCACCTCCTTTGTCCTCTCCTCTGGGCTCCTGACTCTTTCTGCAGCCTTTCACTGCTACTCCTCGGCTCCTTCTTACTGCTGTCTTTCTGCCCCACCCCTGATCTTCTGATACCAAAGATCTACACCTAGCCTTCTCGGACAAGAGCGAAAAATCTTGGAGGTCCTGTGTGCAAGTTGGGCACGTTAAATATCCTTTGATGACTAAAAAATCTATAAGAGTAGGCTTCCGCCGCCACCCGGGCAAAATTCAAAATTTCCTACCAACTGAAAATATATGGCGAGCGCCGTAAAACACTTACCAAAAAAAAACCCCCAACAAGAACAACAACAAAAATTCAACTCACACAGCGGTCTCATCTGTGCTGAGTCCCGTCCATCGAGTCGTTGTTTCTCAAGCAAAGCCTGTTATTTGACAAAGCATAAAAATGTAACTAATTCTGTGGGAAGAAATATTTATTTAAGTGATTTAGTTTACTGACATATTAAAGAAAGAGCTATCAAGAAGACCAGGAGGAAACAATTAGTGCTGAGTTTTAAATTCTCAACAAAAATCCGAGTTTAGATCCTACTCCTGGGCAGAAAAATATTAGGCGTACTGGCTAACTAATGTGGTAGGGTTCACTTAGCAATCACTTCTGTTTCTTATCATGTCTTATGACTTAGAATCTAGGCCTCTATGTAAATAAACGGGAAGGCAATTTCCATAGAGCCCCTCTAGAGTCTAGATCTCTAGATTTAGAATCTAGATTCTAGATCCAGATATTTAGACCGAAAAAGTGCCGAGAGATTCTTTTTCTAGGCTTGGCCTATCTATCAACTTACCGGGTCGCTGGTAGCCGTAGGGCAAAAATCATAGGGACTGTTGGACGTCTCAGGCCCTTGAATGCGTCTAGTGTCAGTAGGCATTATAGTTGTTATTATCAATTCAAGCGCTAACTGAATTCAGTTCAAACAAAACTTCATTTCTTCAAACCCAGGATCAGGAGTTAGATCTCCTGTAACAGTGCCACACGGGCGCAGCCATTGAAATAAAGGGCCTGAACTCTGAATAATTTCGTCGTGGATTGTGAGATCTTCGTATCATGAAATATTCGCGGTATTATTATAATATTAACACTCGTAAATAATGCACATGCAACATCTGCAGGCCGAATATCTTTGAGGGATTTGTTGTTTTGTTGTTGTTGTTTTGTTGTAGTTGTTTGGTTGTTGTTGGGGTTTTTTTTACGAGTGCCTTCCCCATCTGTGCATTACGTTAGTAATCTTTAGTCATATTGACGCGTAAAAGATGTGCAGATTTGTCAGCGGAGATAACGGGACACAAGAATGTGACAAACAACATACAAATGAAGTAGAGGAAAATAACGATAGTAAGGACTAGGGTAGACAAGCAGCAGTTCCCTGTAGCAGTTCAGGCACAGTTATGAGCATGACATTGGTGAATCAGCCCATTTACAGTTACAATTCTACTGTGCGTAAGAACAAGTTAATGTCTCCCCTTTGGGAAAGACCTAAAGACACTTCAGTCAGTGGCACTGCCCTGGTGTGGAATCGGTGGTGTACGTAGTGGTTATAGGCGCTTCGCTGTCGCACACAGAAGACCAGAGTTCGAATCCTGTGTGAGGAGAAGTATTCTTTTCTCTATAGGACTTTGTATCCATCTCAGCCCCAGCTGGTCTTGCAGGCGGGATCGAAGCTCTTCTTTAAAATAAGCAACTATTAAAGTACTGACTTCTAAAGATAATTGGTCGCTTAAATTTAAGAAACAAGGGGGCTATCCCGAAAATAAATGCTGTTTTGATTAAATCGAAGGTAAAGTTTTTGCCCCTTGTTCAGTTTCTTTAAAAGACAAGGAGATTTTTTCAATAACCAAACAAATATACGCACCAATGAAACCAAACTTCTCTTATAAATAGAGCAAAGCCCACTTTTGGTGTAGGTCAAGATTTCTGGAAAAACCCCAAAATGTGGGTTAACCCGCTTGTCCTTAAAAGCGACCAATGGACCGAAGCGGACGCCTGAAACTTGAAGGGAATAAATGGGTGCAGATTTTAAACGTTAATTTAAAAAAAAACGCATGGTCAAACTGGGTAAACATGGGACATTTTCAGTAGCAGGATGTTATTGTTTGTTTGTTTTAGTAGAGGTTTTACGGCGCTCACAACTGCATAAGGTCATATATGAGCGCAAAGAGGTGGATTACAACAGAGAAGTCATTACAGGGAATCAGACTTACTCTGCTCACCTCTCTAACTTCAACAGCAAGAAGTCTGCATCAACTATCAAGGCACCCCGGAAATAACGGGTAACAGGAGTGTAACAAACATTCAAAAGAAGTAGAGGGAAAATGACGATAATACGGATTAGGAAAGAAAAAGCAGCAGTCCCCCGTTGCAGTTCAGGCACAGTCATGAGTATGACATTGATGAATCAGCCCATTTACAATTACAATTCTACTGTGCATAAGAACTCGAGATGTTAATGCCCCCCCCCCCCCTTGAGAACGGCCTAAAGACACTTCAGTCAATATCACCGCCCCGGGGATAAGCAGGATGTTTGAGGATAAGTTGTGTTACGAGTTTTTGACCGCACTCCAGTACGTTGTGACAGGAAGAAAGACTCGAGACAATTTTTTAAAAGGAAAAAAGTAGGCGTATATATACCAATTTAAAAAAAAACAAAAACAGTGGCATAAAAAATAGGATACCAACAACCCAACCACGAAACAAAACTGACACAATGATAATAATAGTAACAATAAAAATAATAATAATAATAATGATAATAGTATTTGTATAGCACAAATCCCCGCTCAACAGCAAGCTATACGCTTCACAATCTATACTATTACCCCAGCAGACCTGAGAGCATTCTGAAACAGCCTCAACTTCCCGGGAAGCATACAGTGCAAGCTGCCACTTAAAAAACTTTCGCTGTCTATGGCCGGGTACCCATTCTCACTTTGGTGAAGTGAGGAAAATTCGTGTGAAGTGCCTTTCCCAAGGACACAACGTCGGGCCCGCGGCTCGAACCCCCGACCTAGACCACCGACGCCACCTACATGACTCTCTTCTCCCCCGAAAAATGGTAAATAAACCGGAAAAAAAACGGCCCACACCATCCATCCCTCACCAAAAAAAAAAATAATAAATAAATAGATCTTAATTTCAAAAAGTAATAAAGAAACCACGTTTTAAAAAGCATTACCCCCCCCCCACCCCCGCAGAAGACAACAACAAACAAAACAACAAACAGACAAAAACAGTGGCATCAAACCAATAGGATAAACAAAAAAAAAAGGGGGGGGGGGAGAGAGAAAACACAAAACAAAACAATATTTAGGCGGAACAACTCAAAACAACAAAAAAACGGTTAAGGCGGCAGACAAAAAATAAAATAAAATAAAATAAAGACCAGTACGAATAAAAATCGTTCTTCCATGACCTGCATGCGTCATTAAACAGTTCATTTCGTTCATTGACCTAGATGAATAACACCTTCCTCCTACACAGCTAGAGTCTATTGATGGCGGCATGGTTGTCTTTGTTGTACTCAACGTGCTCTGTCTATTCATCTATTCTGTCTCTGTTGTACTCAACGTGCTCTGTCTATTCATCTATTCTGTCTCTGTTGTACTCAACGTGCTCTGTCTATTCATCTATTCTGTCTCTGTTGTACTCAACGTGCTCTGTCTATTCATCTATTCTGTCTCTGTTGTACTCAACGTGCTCTGTCTATTCATCTATTCTGTCTCTGTTGTACTCAACGTGCTCTGTCTATTCATCTATTCTGTCTCTGTTGTACTCAACGTGCTCTGTCTATTATTACTATTAATCTATTCTGTCTCTGTTGTACTCAACGTGCTCTGTCTATTCATCTATTCTATACTCAAACTCAACTGTTTAAAACTCTGACCGTAAAACCCCACTGGGATTGGGCAAGGAATTCACACATTGCAGTTTTGCCTTATTTCATTGACAGTGAGACAGGAGTAAAAGTGTTTTATTCGTTTAGGAGGGGGGGGGGGGTTGGAAAAGTGGCGATGGGGGAATGGTATGATTGAAAATAATTTATGGTCGACCACAGCTTATGACTCGCGTTTGAAAGGTTCAGTCGGTGCTTTAAAACGTTTGAAACCTAACAAATCTTGTTTTCAATGAATGCATTCACCTGTAGACTGATCATAAATGAGTATGTCCCCAGCACATTAAACGCTGTGTCAAACTTTCAAAAAGAGTAGAAGCAGAGATAATATTAATTCTTCTATAACGAGTTCAGTACCAATTTATATAATAAATAAATAAACAAATAAAGTAGCAAAAATGAAATAAAAATCAACAATACCAAATAATCAAACAAACAAACAAAGGGGGCACTCGTGGCCTAGAGGTTAAGGTGTTCGCATCTCACTCAATAGGTCGAGGGTTCGAATCCGGAGAGCAACTGAAGATCTTCTTCTCTAAAATTGCCACCTTTCACATCCTTTCCTGCTATCTAACAATGTTCTGTCGTCCACTTTCGTCTCCACTTTCTGCCCCAACCCCCTCACCTTCTTTGCCCCCTTGGCTCCTGGCTCTTTCTGCAGCCTTTCTACTGCTACTCCTTGGCTCCTTCTTACTGCTGTATTTCAGCCACATCCCTGATCTTGTGGTGAGAAAGATCTATACCTAGCCTTTTCGGACAAGGGCGAAAAATCTCGCGGGTCTCGTGTGCAAGTTGCACGCGTTAAAGATCCCTTGGTGGTCCAAAATCAATAAGAGTGGGCTTCGGCCGCCACCAGGGGGAAAGTTCAAAATGTCCTCCCAACTGAAAATGATTAATGTGTCCCACGCGCTCATGTGACATTATGCAGTTGCGAACGTCGTAAAACACTTACCAAAAAACAACAACAAAAAACGAACAAAGAAATAAACAGAAGAAACTGTAAACCAGTTAAACTTTGGCTTAGTAAGTAAATGTTTTACGGCACTTGCAAACCAGTTAAACTTTCCCCCCTCCAAAAGTAATATATTTAGGGGGGGGGGGGTGATTATGTATTATTTCTTACACTCATGTAACTTCTGCACCATTACTTATTGAACTAGGCCTACACAAAAATCATCATCAGATTATTTAGTACAGTTTGTTATCTATAGTCTAAAAAAGGTGTGGGCTTTTTGTGTTTTTTGTTTGTTTGTTTGTTTGTTTGTTTTCGGGGGGTAGATGTTTTGCGGTGCTCACAAGATTGAAGCAGCACTCTCGGAACTCTGAAAATCGCCATAGCCAAACCAAACAACGCGTCTCCCATTTTTTTCTCTCCTTTCTAAAGTTTTAGTAAGTGTTTTACGGCACTTGCAACACAATAAGGTCATATAAGTGCCGAAGATTAGAGGTGTTACAAGAGAGTAACAAACACAAAAAAAGAAGGAGGAGAGATAAGGACGACAGAGATGTTAGATAGGAAAGAAGGTGCAAACCGCACCAGAGCACCCGACAACCACCCACTTTTTTTTCTCTCCCTCACGAAGGGAGTTAACCTCCTTAAAAACAATCATCTATCGTCGAAACACTTTGAAGCAATTTTTTATTTAAGAATTAATAAATATTCAGCCCGGGCTATCACAGAAAAGGAGATAACGTGCCTCAGAAATAACGAACAACGCTCACCTATGAAAGCACAATAACTACATTAATACCTAACTAATTAACTAACTAAATAAATAAGATAGATAGATAGACAGACAGATAGATAGATAGATAGATAGATAGATAGATAGATAGATAGATAGATAGATAGATATAAAAGGTAGGTGAAGCCTACTACAGGAAAGTATCAGGGTACAAGGCAAGAGGAAGACCAAGAAAGACCTGGATCCAGGGCGTGAAGGATACCCTGAGAACATACAATATCCCACCCAGCCAGGCCATTAAATAAACGTGCTAGAGACAGGAAGCTCTTTCTCCCCTCGACGCCCTAGAGGTACAAGAGGACGGATACAGTAAAGTAAGCTCTTTCGTAGAAAAAGGCTTGCCACGGAGGTAATGAAAAGAACGAAGACCAATACCTTACACTTACTTAGAAAAGACAGACAAGACTTATCACAAAAGCAATTGGGTGGCGGGGTGGAAGGGTGGGGGTGGGGGTGGGGGGGCATCCGTCCGTGACAGACACACGAAGTGGACGCTGCATTTTGTCTACGTAGCATAACCATAGGACGGATTCAAAAGAAGAAAAAAAAAAGACAACAACAAAATTACAATTTTCTGTCGTTAAAATGTTATAAATGACGGGTGCAAAATAGAAGGCCGTCATAAATCGCTCGGCGAACGCACCATATCAAAACAGAATTGCGGCACTAAAATATCTTAACAAGAAAACAATGATGTTTCAATAACAAAGGGTAAAAAAATATATTGTGCTTCTGCTGCATAGAAATGTATATATTTTATTATTACGACTTATTTTCAGTATATAGTTTTCCACAGCTTACCTAATCGTTCGTGTCGGAGTAATGGGTACCAGCAAACAACTTTCAATTCTATAGAAACTTTTAAAAACGCTGATTCTTCTCATTCTACCCCATTTCATTACTCGGATGGTTTGTTCATTTGCATTTGAAATCATTTTTTTTAAACACAGAAGACACAACTGCAACTGTCATGAGCATATTATGTGAGGCAGCGTGGTGGAATCAGGCTCTCGTCAAAATTACCAAAGTGAAGAAACTTGCATTTTTCCACAGGTTTGTGAATTCTTATTAAAAAAATTTTTTTAGCTCAACAAAAATTACAGAACTAGTTTCTGTGTGGATTTTTCTGAAAAACATTGATTAAAAGCACAAAAAAATGTAAATTTTCTGTTACCACGGACTCGTAAGCTAAGGAAATAACTAATATTTGGCGGCCATTTTCTCACTAATTTTACCTGTGAAAACAGGCAACCCCACCTCCTTCATTCGCAAATATCTCGACTTGTATTCAAGATGAATGGATATTTTTTTCATCCAAATAAAGAGAAGTAAACAAGCTATAAGATGATAACAATAACTCTACATGCCCAAATATTGACGACAGCCTGATTCCACCACGATGCCTCACATATTAGTATTTTTTGTGCTCCTTAATGTGGGGTGGAGACTGAAAGTTTCAGTGAAACTGCGGCAATAAAATTTTAATTCTGAAAGTAAAATTTTCGCATCAGTGACTGATTCTACGTATAAAACGGTGCGCATTCTGCGACAAGATATCCAGCCTTGTGGCAAGTGTCGCTGACAGACGTTCACTCTCTTTCTTCCTCCTGCCCAGTCAAAGACAGACGTGTGAAATCTTGACAGTCATCATGAAGCTGCTTTGTGTTGCTGCCTGCCTTGTGCTGCTCGTAGCAGCCGCCCACGGATGTGTCAGTGAGTACAAAATCATCGTAGTTATCTTTCTTTACTTTTTGTGTAATTTTGGTAAGAGTTTTAGTTTAGTTTTAGTGTAAGAATTTTACCGTACGGCGCTTGCAACACGATATGGTCAAATAAGTGCCAAAGAATAGATTATGTGTTACATGTACAAGAGAGTAACATACGCAAAAAGAAGGGTGAGAGATAAGGACGACAGAAGTTTGATAGAAAAGAAGGAGGAAACCACACCAGAACACCCGTCAACCACCCATTAATTTTGGTAAGAATTTTGGGGTACTTGCAACACAGTAAGGTCATACATGTAATATAAGAGCCGGAGATTTGAGGTGTTGCAAGAGAGGTTTTTTTTTTTAAAGGAAGAGAGATAAGGACGTCCGATGTTTCGTGAGAAAAAAGAAGCAAACCATATCAGTATCAGAGCACCGGGAAATAAATGTTTCTTTACTTTCATTTTGATGAGCGTCTACTGATTTCACCACGCTGCCTCACATAATATTATGTATTTATTTCACTGATACCTAAATCCATTCATAAATATCATAGTAAATAGAAGCAGGGAGAGTATATATCCTTGTTGAACTCCTGACCATACTGGGGTGGGGGTGGGGGGGATCACTAATAAGTCCTTATTTTGTTCTTAAGGAACACAAACTATTCTCAAAAAGAGCCATGGCGTTTTGTTTTAAGACCTGGTTTTCCACTCCATATTCCTCCAGCGCTTTCACGAACAGGTTCTCACGCTGTCGAAAGCATTTTCTTGATCGTTGAAAACTATAAAACTATATTATTATTTAGCTTTTCCCTGTATTTGATTGCTGTTTCTCTGATCTGTCTCAAACTCAATGACAAGATGCCATCTCTGCACCTTCTGCACGAGGATTTTCAAGGCTCCCATCATATATTTTTATGTCTTCGGTCTCATCAGAGGCAGACGTTAAATTCGGAGGTCCTGATTCTTGGCGTATAACCTCATAGTATTGCTAGGGGCGTTAAACCCAAACACTTACCACTTTTTGAAACAGATGATCCACCACACTGTGGTCTAATACTTAGATTTACACTTTTTTTAAAAACATAATGCTCTAATACGAGTATGACTTACCTATTTTAAACATTAGGCTCTAATACTTGTATTTTTTAAATTTTATGTTCTAACATTTGTATTTTTGAAAACATTATTATGCTCTAATACTAATATTTACATTTTTTTTACACCGTGCTCAAATACTATATTTGAATAAAGACAGATATGTGAGAAAATCGAACACAACGAAGAATCAAACATCGTCCTTATAGTATACCACGAGAAGGCTTTTGTCATAGTAAACCATTGCAAAACTCTGGGAAGACACTCGAAAAGTATGGTGTCAGATAACAAATGTTAGATAATGTCAGAGCTCTATATATCAACAGCAGAAGCTCACTAAGAACGAAGGAAGGCAATACAATATACTTGTTCAAAATAAGATCTAGAGTACGACAGGGATGCGTTCTATCTCCCCTCCTGTTTATAATATATGGAGCTTGCCTACCATAGAAAAAAGCATCTCCCCTCGACGCTTAACGACAAAAGAAAAAATAATTTTCTCAAAAACTTACACTTTTTTATATTCTGCTCGAAAACTTACACTTTTGTTACTTTATGTTCTAATATCGACACTTTTTTTTTAACCTTGTATTCTAAAACTTCGGTTCGGACACGGGGTTTTTTTCGCCCCCTCCTGCCCACCTAGCAGTAATGGGTACCTGACTTTGAGTTGGGGAAGTAAAGGCGGCGTGGAGAGGAACTGGCCACCCTACCACAATAATATGTCGAAGGCCCAGGAAGTTGTCTCACTAACAAGGCAATCCCCAATGTCCGGATCGGATGCGGGAGCAATTTTACTTTTTACCGGTACTTTAATACTTACACCTGTTGTTTTTTTTTCATTTGGCTCTAATACTTACACTATTTTTATTACATTATGATCTAATACCTACCCTTTTTTTGCATTGTCATATTATAATAATAATAGTAATAATAATAATAATAATAATAATAATAATAATAATAATAATAATAATAATAATAATAATAATAATAATAATAATTACACCTGGGTTTTTTTCATTTGGCTCTAATTTTTACACTTGTTTTTGTTCCCAGACGCTCCCCCTCGTTGTGCTCTCGTGAAGATGGAGAGCTGGGGCTGGAAGTTCTTCAGTAAGCCCCTGCTGCCCGCTGCCTGGATCACCTCTGTGTCGGTGGAGAAGGACTTCAGTGGAGGCTACTGCAAGCCTGCCTCCGGCTACGGTTTCTCTACCAACGAGCTGTGGGTAGCTCATGGCTGTCGTGGTCTGCTCAAAGTTTGTGCAGTGGCAAGTAAGTTGGTTTGTTGGTTTGTTCGTTGGTTTGTTTGATGGATTTCTTGTTTAGATTGTACGTTTGTGTGGTTGTTTGTTTGTTTGATTTCTCGTTTTGTTTGTAAGTTTGTATGATTTCTGGGTGGCTCATGGCTGTCGCGGACTGTTCAAAGTTTGTTCCCTGCAAAGTATGTATGTTTGTTGATTTGTTTGTTTGTTTGTATAGCCCCCCCCCCCCCCCCCTTAAGAATGTTAACAGTAACAACGCTTTTTAAGTTAATAGCAACTATTTAACATGTATTTCATTTCTTTCTCCCACTCCTCTTCACTTCCCAGTGAAATAGAGAAATACGCTTTTTAAGAAAATTTTAAACTCTTTTTCTCATCCGCGACCCCATCCCATTTCCCTGACAATTGTTTGACGAAAACCCTAAATAGCTTTCTTCTTCTTCTTCCTCGTTCTCGATCCTAAACAGCAATAACTACACCTTCGCCTCTGAGCAAGATAGATAGATAGATAGATAGATAGATAGAAGATAGATAGACAGATAGATAGAATCAAATAGATAGTTAGAAAAATACGCTTTTAAAGTTTACAACGTTTGTTTCTAAGTACTTTCTTCTCTCTCCCCTTTCCACACAAATGTGTGACGAAAACTCTAAACAGCAACAACTACACCTCCGCCTCTGAGCAAGATAGAGAAAGATAGATATATAGATAGATAGGTAAAAAAAATACGCTTTTATTTTAAAGTTTACAACACTCGTTTCTAATGTATATTCTTCTCTCTCTCCCCACCCCTCCCCCCAAACCTCCCTCCCTTTTCCCAGACAAATGTGTGACAAAAACCCTGAACAGCAACAACTACGCGTTCGCCTCTGAGCAAATCGAAAACGCCTGCTACGTGTCGTCCATGGTGATCAAGACCAGACAGGGACCGCCCTGCGTGGCTGACGTCAACTACGGTTTCACCGGACCCTACGTCTGGGTCAATGGAGGCTGCCGCGCCGAATTTACCGTCTGCTACGTGCAGTGACGTCATCGTCCTCCCCATCACGTGATCCATGAACCAATCAATGAATGATGAATAAATGAATAACTCTTTATTTATCCCATTAAGTAAGGAAATTTGGGTTATTTATTTAAAAAATATAATTACTTACTTATATATATTTACTTCTATATCCTACCTCTTGCTGTACCACCTAGGACGTCGAGGGGGGTATTTCTTCATCATTATCATTATTATCATTATTATTCATTTATTTATTTATATTTTTATCTATCTATTTTAGCTTTTAAGTTTTAGTAAGGTTTTACGGCACTCGCAACATATTGGTCATATGAGCGCCACGGGGTGGATGTCAACAGAGAAGTCCAAACGAGGAATCAGACTTACTCTGCTCACCTCTCTAGCTTCAACAGCACAAAGTCTGCTTCGACTACCATTAGTAGGCACCCCGGAAATTGAAGTCCACAAGAGAGTGACAAACATGCAAAAGATAAGAAGTTGAGGAAAAAATTACGATAGTTGGGATGAGGAAAGGAGAAAAACAGCAGTTCCCCCTATGCTGTTCCGGAACAGTATGACCATGGCATTGATAAATCAGCCCGTTTACAATTCTACAGTGCTTAAGAACATGTTAATACATGTAATAATATCCCCCCTTTGGGTTTTTCGTTTATTCTTCAATTAAACATAATTCAAATGTAGAAAAATACATGTACAATACTTTGGTCGCTTAAAACGACACCAGACCATAATGTGAAAGAGGAGCCTGAAGGAAGTAGCCTATGTGGGGCAGGAGAGCCAGGGAAAGACAAAGAGTAACATGGATGGACGACATTAAAACATGGACTGGCCTGGGTACAGCAGAATGTGCAACGGCAACCCATGACCGTGGAGGATGGAGGGTCAATACAGGTCAACCTCTGAGTCAGAGATAAGGGCTCCTCTAGCAGACAGTAAGAGTTTTACGGCACTTGCAACACAATAAGGTTATAAATATTATAAGCGCCGAAGATAAGGTGTTACAAGAGAGTAACAAACACAAAATAGGAAGAAGTTTCAAGTAGAAGGGGGGATAGAATAGATAGATTCATTATAGGAATGAAGGAGTAAACCACACCACAACAACCGCCCACAAGTAAGAGTTTTACTGCATTTGCAAAACACTAAGGTCATAAATATTAGGCCAAAGATTAGAGGTTTTACAAGAGAGCAACAAACACAAAAAGAAGGAGAGATAAGGACGTTAGAGCAAACCACACTAGAACACCCGCCAACCACCCACTGATAGATGTTCGTTAGGAAAGAAGGAGCAAACCACACTAGAGCACCCACCAACCACCCGTTCGCTGACGTCTGCTACAGATCTCGCACGTTACGATAAAAAGAAAAGTTGAACAAACAAACATGACTCAATCAAAACCAGTCAGTCTTTTGAAGTATATATTATAGGATTACTTTATTTTTTAATCATTTAAATCTCTAGCATGTAGCTGCATTTTGAAAGGCTGTTATTTGTACTCACATATCAAAGACTGAGTGCAAGAAGTGACTACATACATATGTAATCCACTTTTGGTCGAAATGGAGTAATCGATATGGGTAGTGAGATTTTTAGCCCCTCATCTAAATTACCTCATATCTAAACCGTAGCTTAATTAATTCGGTATCTAGAAATATTAACGTATCTTTTTCGACTACGTTATAGATAGAGATTTCAATATCGTCAAACTTTCAAACTCGTTTTTCTGGAAACTGAAAAGTGGATATAAAAAGTCACTTCTCGCACTCAGCCGTCGCTATGGAAACATAACAGTGATACATAAAATACGTTAGGTCCTGAATACATTTGTGCATAGTCCAAACTCCGGAAAAAGCGAATGATTCAACAAATCACAAGATTAATAGCTGTGGAGAAGAAGATAAGTGATGAAAAAAAAAAGAATCATAGGGCTCTTTATTCAAGGGAAGTAGAACCACCTCCGATACTCAGCCCCAAGAAAATAGTCATGACCGACAAAGATAGTAGTTGATGGTAGTCCGAGAAATTGACGTGTAATGAAATTATTTCTCAAAGCTCTTCAAATGTGAATCATAGTGAATATTACAACTTGACAGCTGGATTACATTAGGATAAGGATCTTCTCAGTTGTACGATGACACAATGATCGTCTTATTATTACAAACAAAATTATTTTCAGACCACCCAAATGGGGATACTATTTCAATTTTACGGTGGTGTCTGTGGCATTTGGTATAATTTGTTACATAATTTTTTAGAAGTTTCAGAAATGTAACATCATCATCATAGAATAGGAATACATGTAATATTGGCCAAACCAAACGTATGGGAAATAACTGTTGCAGATCATACAAGTATAAAATTACAGCTTTTAAGGAAAACTGTGTGCAAGTGTCAAGCGTACCGGAATAGGCTAACATGTTTTGAGCCAAAACTATCTCCAGATTTTCACTCCATGAAGTTGCACTATATCAAAACATCATGCAAGTGAGTTTCCATACCATATTTATTTTCCAACTAAAACGAATCTTGACCTAGCTCTTGACAATACAGTAGTCAACAGTTATTATCGATTTATTATACATAATATAACTGTCCAATTCTAGACAAGACTGAGTTATGAGTAGCTGTTTTATGGCACTATCGACTCAGTTCTGGTCTCATGTAAGTGCCACTAGACTATTATCGAATTACGTCAGACCATCACCGAAGGGCATGAGACAACCATCAAAATGTCAATCTGTTACCCAAAACCAAAAGAAGGAATGTTTTGTTTACAGAAAGACTCGCACATCAAAGAAACAACCATTGAAACACATGAATTGTGTTGTGATATTATCACAACATGAGCCAATAACTGACGTCCAGTCATCTAAATTTAAAAAAAATTTTTTTTTATAGTAGAGGGTTTTACGACGCTCGCAACTGCATAAGGTCATATGAGCGCCAAGGGGTGGGTGTCAACAGAGAAGTCCTTACAGGGAATCAGATTTATATTCTGCTCACCTCTCCAGCCTCAACAGCACAAAGTCTGCTTCGACTATCAAGGCATCCCAAAAATAGCAGGTCACAAGAGAGTGACAAACATACAAAAGAAGTAGAGGAAAAATGACAATAGTAAGGATTTGGAAAGAAAAAGCAGCAGTTCCCTGTTGTAGACCAGGCATAGTTATGAGCGTGACATGAATCAGCCCATTTACAATTCTACTGTGCTTGAACGAGAAATGCCCCCCCTTTGGGAAAGGCCTAAAGTAAGACACTTTTAAAAATGGGTCAACAACAATTCACTCATCCTCATAAACCGTTGGGTATAATATTCTGACCAATTACCCCGAAAATACTAAACACAACATTAAAATTCAAAAACAAATAATAGCTGCCACAGAAGGCTATGGGTACTGCAACACACACACACACACTGACACACATACATACACACATACAGATAGAAGAACTGGACTGGGTCTACAAACCACTTCTTAGCCTGAAAATTTTCTTTAAAATTATTGGTAAACGGGTAACTAATTGTAAGTGTTTACAACCAAGAGACAAGCTCGCGAGCTGCCAGCAGAGCTCATGGCACTTTATAGTATACTTTAGTCCAATGTTGTTTTTAATCATAAATAATTTTGCTCCTGAGCTGATTATTACTTTTTAACTTCCAATTTTAAGTTCCATAATTAAGGTCTTTGTCCTTCAAGAAATAATTCCCTCACCAGAGAAAAAAAAAAAAAAAAAAAAACCCTATTCAAAAACTGTGTTAACTAAAAGACATTGTGAGATTTTTTTTTAAAATGTCAACACAAAGTGGAAAGTCTCAAGGATGAAATGACAAAAGATGAAAATTTGTGAATATTGACTGTCGAGGTCTTGCTGGATTAAAGATCAGGACATCAACGCAGCAACAGCCATTTAGGAAAGGGATGAGGGGAAAAAAAGCAAGACAGACTAGACTGTCAAACTCAACAAAGGGAAAGAAAAGAAGTAGGACTTACACGTGGTGTGTTCCTACCACCTGCCTCTCCAAGGTCTGGCTCTTCTCCCATAATCTCAAAACATTCAAGTCAGAATGAAACGGGAATACTCTTTAAGAACCAAAACATACCCCCCAAAAAAGTATGAGATTCAGATACAATTTTGCCAAAAACCGAGTGCAGCCAAATGTTCAAGAAAAACAAAAAGCTTCATAACAGAAAAAGGATAAATTTCCAATACCTGTGAAAAAAAAATAATAATAAAAAGGATTGGCATTACTACTGCAAAAGCCAAATCTCAGCAAAGTGCAAAGTTACAGTATATGAAAAAATATGGATATGTATTTTTTCTCTCAATACAAAATACTTTCTTGTAGAACTGTTTGAGAGAATATGACACACTTGGCATGACAATAGACTCGACATTTGCCAGCAACAGCAGAAAAAAACAACAATCTAAACTATTATCACAATAAAACAATCAAGTATCCTCTTATCTTATCAAAAACACAGAGTTCATACAGATACAAGAACTCTCAAGTTAAGGTGAGGCAGTAGGATTTGTCAAAATGGAAGACCTTGTTTGAGAAAAAAAGCATTAAACACGCGAGGTTCAGATCTGTAAAGTTTTTCAAACATTTTGTAAAGATGAAACCATTATCACAATCAACATATCATATCTTCAACAACAGACATTGCATATTTCAAGCATTTTTTTTTTACTTCTTCCAAATAAAATTTATAACAATTTTTGTCCACAAAATGCTAAGGGGCAAACAAACACTTGCTGGAAACAACTGATTCGGTAAGAACAGAAAGAATCAGTACAAAATAGCGGTGAAATAGATTTTAAAAATCTGGAATGACAAAGGCACTTTGGTAATTGACCTCTTAGATCACTGATATCCAACTGACCTCTCTCCTCATTAGCTCATCACAAACTGCTGTGTCTGCCGACGTTCATCTTATGGCACGAGACATCAAAATCAAATGTGACTTTCAGTGACAAGTTGGTCCAAAATGGATAAAATAGACTGGGCAAACAATACCATGGCATATTCTGATAATAATAACAAGGTACCAACTACAATCACAGCAAATCAAAATTTTGAATATTTTTGCAGGTAAAACTATCGCTTGAAGACTTCCAAGATATAAATTCAGAGCAAAAATAGAAAATTTCAATATTTTGCAAGCTGGATACCTTTACGTTAAGAAAACATTCCCATATGCTCACAAACATCAAATGAAATCAGTAGAATGAGAGAACCTATTTCACCACAGAAACGTAACTCGCATGAATAAAGAAAGCTCTGGATCATGACTATGATTCTCAAAACAACACATACGGTATATTTCTCAGAATAGCTTGGACCTCTCACCTGACTAGTACCACAAACTGATTGAACTACTGAGTACACTAGCAAGGCATACTATCACAACACACATTCACCGAATGCTGGAATTATTTTTTCATTAACATCGGGGAGCAAAGAAAAGTGACAAGTAAAAAAAAAATTATAAAAAAAAATATATAAAAAAAGCAACCCCACACACACAAATTAAAAGGAAAAAGAAAATCCTTTTCCATCTTTATCTCGAAAAAACATTTCGTGTTAGTGAGTGAAGCTTTTTCAAAGAAACAACAGAATTAGAGTTCTTTCAAGAAACTCCCGTCTTTCGTAGATAAAACAACAACAAAGTCCAGAAACTCTTCTCAGGTCGTACCCACAACAATTGTTCTGATATCACATCTACAAAACAAAACTCAAACAAATAGTAACATTAACATTCCGGAACACGGAAAACACTTTCGGAACTTTCAAGCTGCCAAAAACAACCTGGTGGCAGCGGTTGGCCATGCTCCTGACCTCAACTCCCACTACAGAGGGTGGGCCGGCAAAACTTTTCCCGTGCAGGTCCCAAAGCCCACGCGGTAACCGTTGCCTTCGCAGAACCCTGAAAGTACAACAGTCGAAATATATTATGTGTGTGGTTCGGAGAAAACCCTTCACATGGTGCAAATTTTCAAAACTGACTTTTTTGCATGCGTTGAAAGACACATCTTTCCTGAGCATTTTGTACTTTATTTGATTGCAATTGGAGCATTCTGTGAAAAGTTATGGCAATTTAGTTTTAGTAAGTGTTTTACAGTACTTGCAACACAATAAGGTCATATAAGTGCCGAAGATCAGAGGTGTTACAAGAGAGTAACAAACACAAAAAAGAAAGAGGGGAGACAAAGATGATAGATGTTTGATAGGAAAGAAGAAGCAAACGACACCAGAGCACTCGCCAACCAACCACTTTCAAAATTGACTTTTTTTTGCATGTTTTGAAAGAATCATCTTTCCCGAGCATTTTGCATTTTATTTGAGGGCAATTGGAGTATTCTGTGAAAACTTACGGCATTTTAAAGCGCTCAGGGGTCCGAAGGTGAGGTTTTGAGAAAACGGGTTTTAAAGTTTTGTTTACTTTGGGAACAAATTAAAACTGAAAAATGGTGAAATGGTATGAGTTTAACGCCCCTATCAACGCTATTAGGTTATTTAAGAGGCGGGACCTCCTAATTTAACGTCCGTCTCTGATAGGACCGAGCCAAGCGGGAAGTTTGTGTAAAGTGCCTTTCCCAAGGACACAACGCCGAACCGAGCTGAGGCTCGAACCCCCGAACCCGCAATCTCACGATTACGAGTCCGGTAGCCTAACCACTAGGCTACCGACACAATAGTGCTCAGTTACTTTGAAACAGAAAACTTGCAGTTTACTTACTGTAAACTAAAAAAAACAATACCGGTGCTTCGCAGAGTAGAACGAAAAACTTAAATCCAATTAGGAACAGTTCACATTTGGTTTGAATGGCAGGACATGGAACAGAAGAAGGTAAAACGGCACTCTGTACTTTCAACCCCCCTCTCCCCCCCCCCCCCAAACATCTACAGTGATTGAAGCAATGACACACCATAGTCTCCTAACCAAAAACCTTCTCTGTCAAATAAGTTTCTCAGGATTAATAAATAACATGAAGAGGCGAGCCCAGGACAGGGAAAGGTGGAAAGTGTTTGTTCACGGCCTCCTATACCCTGATCCATGGTGAGAAAGGCAATGATGATGATGATGATGATGATGATGATATTGATATCATTTTTTAAAAATGTTCCCGATGAAGCCATAAGACAGCGAAACATTGACAATATTATTTTTTTTAAAAATCTTACAAGTCTCCAACTTTTTCTTTTCTTTTTGCAGTCTACAATGATGATGAAGATGAAGCTGATGCTGACAATGACGATGATAATGAATGACATACCGTGAAAGATGACCTCATCACCGTCCTGGAGGAACTTCCGGGTCACCCCGTTGCCCAGCTCCACGACCTTGGTGCCCTTCCAGCACAGCTCCAGCATGCTGCCGTACGAGTCGGAAGTCTGGAGAACATAGACAAACATCTTGTTAGGTTGGGGGGAAAAAAAAGCCCAGCGAAAAACTCAAAACAAAACAAAATAAAAAAACTTTTTGGAGACGGTGCTTTTAAAAAAAAGTTTTAGTCAGGGATTAACCAAACACAAAATAAAATCGAAAAAATCCTTCGAGAGAAGGTGCTTTTTAAAAGTTTTCACAAGAGATTTTAAAAAATAATTTTTTAAACCCTCTTTCAGGAGGAAGTTCTTTTTAAAAAATGTTAAAGTAAGAACTTTACAGCACTTGCAAAACAATACGGTCACCAGCAAAAAAATGTCGGTTTCTTTGATTTCAGTATTTGGAGCAGCACCTGATTTCACCACGATGAATCTCTCTCTCTCTCTCTCTCTCTCTCTCTCTCACACACACACACACACATTCAAACACACACATTCAAAAACACACACATTCAAACACACACACACATTCAAACACACACACACACACACTCAAACACACACACACACACATTCAAACACACACACACATTCAAACACACACACACATTATCTCTCTTTCCCTTTTCCGTGATATACTCACAGTGGGTCCACATACATAACAATAATATGTGAGGCAGCATGGTGGAATCAGGCTCTCGTCAATTTTCGGGCAAGTAGAGTTATTGGTATCATCTTAAAGCTTGTTCATTTGTCTTTATTTGGGTGAAAAAACTATCCGTTTATCTTCAATACAAGTCGAGATATTGGCGAATGAAGGGGGTGGGGTCACCTGTTTTCAGAGGTAAGATTAGTGAGAAAATGGGCGCCAGAGATTAGTTATTTCCTTAGTTTAAGAGCCGTGGTAACTGAAAATTTACATTTTTTGTGCCTTTAATCAACGTTTTTCAGAAAAACCCATACAGAAATGAGTTCTGTAATGGGCATGAAAGGGATTGAAAAAATTCACAAGCCTGTGGAAAAATGCAAGTTTCTTCACTTCGATTATTTTGACGAGAGCCTGATCTCACCACGAGATGAATCACATAATTTTGGTAAATATATATGTATGACTCCTCACCTCTCCTGAGATGGTTCCTGACCCCAGGAGGTCACCGGGGTTCACATTGCAGCCGGTCAGCGTGTGGTGGACCAGCTGTTGCTTCATGGTCCAGTACATGTACTGAAACAGACAAAACAGATTTTGTGAAACATTGTGCCTTAGTAAGAGTTTTACGACATTTGCAACAGCACTTTAAGGTCACATAAGTGTTGAAGATTAGAATTGTTTGTTTGATTGAGTAAAGAGAAGCACATCGACACAATAATGGTCATTTAGTGCTGGAAAAAAGTAAGACAGTCATAGACGGAAATAACAGACGGAAAGTAAAGAAGTAGGACCTACCAGCGGCGCCCTCCAACCCGAAGATTAGAGGTATTACAAGAAAGTAACTAACACAAAAACAACAAAAAACCGGAGGAGAGATAAAGATAATGGATGTCTGACAGGCAAGAAGAAGCAAGCCACACCAGAGCACCCGCCAACCATCCACTCATAAAATACGGAAGTGTGCAAAATTGTATAGAAAGGCAATGGCCCCTTGCAAAACCGAAAGGTAGGACCTCCAAATTTAACATTCATCTAATAATCTATTTATAGTAATAATCATAATAATTGCATTTATATTGCACATAATAATCCATGCTCTAAAGCATTCTCGCACTAGGACTGAGTCAAACGAGAAAATTAGTGTAAAGTGCCTTTCCAGTAGAAACAACATAGGACAGAGCCGAGCCTCATAAACACCAATCCACAATCTCACGATTATGGGTCTGGAAGCCTAACCACTAGACTATTGAAACCCACTATGTCCAGGCCCACTTGAACTAAGAAGGATACAACATCCTAGCAGAAATACTGAGATATTTCATGTAAATATAAATTGTGTTTTTTAATTTCATAATCCGAATATAAAAGTCACAGACAGGTCTGTAGAGTCTGCGTGGAGCACACAAAATATACGAAGACTAATGAAAACTTTTCATAGAGGTAGACAGACTACAAAGGAGTGCGAATAAACTAAACCAACAATCTGCAGGACCACAGGATTTTGTTCTGCTCAGCCACATTTTCCATTTAAAAATGCTATTCAAATAGAAAAAAAAATCGGGGATTTCTTTTCTTTTGGTCAACCATTAACTATTAACCACTGTTTTCAGGTCAATCATTTTTTTTTTTTTAGGGGGGGGGTTTACGGTCACAACTGCATAAGGTCATATGATCTTAGTAGAGGTCATATGAGCGCGAGAAGATTAGAGGTGTTACAAGGGGAGTAACAAACACAAAAAAGAAGGAGGGGAGATAAAGAAGGTAGATGTTTGATAGGAAAGAAGGAGCAAACCACAAAAGAACACCCGCCAACCACCCACTGTGCTTTGTGTAAGCGAGCTCTACTGTAGTTGACAGCATCTTGGGTTTACAAAACTCAAAACAAGAAGAGGTACTTTGTGTTTAGTTTACAACTATCAAAACAAGAGATACTTTGTGACTACAACGACCAAAACAAGAAGAGATACCTTGAAGTTTGACTTGGCGATGGGCGCTGGTTTGGACAGACCGTCAGCTGCAGAGGGAGGAAATAACAAACATCATAGACACAGCCCGACCATTGGTTGGTTTTTCAGTTTAAGTAAGGGTTTAACGACACTTGCAACACAATAATGTCACATAAGTGCCGAAGATTAGAGGTGTTACAAGAGAGTAACAAACATAAAAATAAGGAGAACTGATAAGGACAATAGATGCTTGAGAGGAAAGAAGGAGCGAACCACACCAGAGCACCCGCCAACCACCCACATGGAATTTCTGGAAAAGAAACACCTTTAAGATTTCTTTTCGAGGTTTATTAATTAGTGATAGAACTTAATTCATTTGGCAATGCATTCCATACACTGTCGTAAGCTGACAAAGTGTCTTTTTTTCATTTTCGGTGCCAATTCTTTTTATTTGCAAAATCGTAAGCCTGATCAGATACCCTACTTGTGGGAAAAAATCAAAGCAAAACTGACTATTTTTTGAATAAATTAGAATTCATATAATTTAGGAAAAAATGCTATTTTTAAATGGTTATGCTGACAAAAAGCCTCTTTATCTCTTAACTGCCATCGCAGACTGAGAGAGATACAACATTCCAGCCGAAATACTGAAATACTAAATACAAATTTTTCTCCCCCACTCAAGAATTGATTTTGGGTCTCACACGCAAACACACATAATATATGTTGTTGTTGTTGTTGTTATCGATCCAGCAACAGTTGGGCTCTAGCCCTTCTGTCCAATGCCGTGTTGTGATAAGTGCAGGTTTGCTGCAGTTGCTGTAATGTTCCGTAGAGTGTGTTGTCAATGTTGGGTCTCTGAGGGAGAAGTGTAGCTCTGATGTCATTTAGGGCTGTACAGCGGAAAAGGTGATGATCCAGTCTCATATGCATAGTCACACAAGGGACACATTGGGGGAAGTTCTGGTTTTATTCTGTTCAAGTGAAAGTTGAGCTGTACATGTTCTGCTCGTAGGCGGAAGATCGTGGTCTGTTTGTTTCTCTGTAGGTGGTTGATATTGTTATTTCGTTTTGCTGTAGTCATATGTTTGAAAACTGCTCTGCCTGTCTTTCCCAAGGCCCATCTGTTCACCCAATCTTGTTTGCTGTTGCTTTTAATGATTTGTCTTGCAGTGTTGTATGAAGTTGGAATGTTGGGTTGTTCCTGTCTAGATCCCCTTATGGCGAGGTGTGTCTGCTCTGTCATTTCCAGGTATGTTTGAGTGTCCGGGAATCCACTGCATCACCAGGTTGACGCCACAGGATGTTATCAGATGATGGGAGCCAAACAGTATACATGTCCCATAATATATAGACAGGTGCCCTGTTCCACTGTACAACCCTAAATGACATCAGGGCTACCATTCTCCCTCTGAGACCTACCATTGATAACACACTGTACGGAACATTAAAGCAACTGCAGCAAACCTGCACTTATCACTACATGGCATTGGACAGAAGGGCGAGGGCCCAGCTGTTGCTGGATCGATAACAATTTATAACAACAAGAACATAGGCATGTGCATCATAAGCTCTTAGCACACAGGTGCTAAAACAGTCACTTAACCTTCCTGACGGATCAAAACTACAAACTGTCACTTCACCTTCCTGATGCATCAAAATTAACAGAATCTACTATACAGTGGCAGAAAAATGGTGTTTCGGAAAAAGATACACCTTTTTAAGATTTTTTAACACTTTGCAGTCACCAAGCCAGCAGTACAAAATACCCCATCTGGTCACCCAGCCAGGAGAGCGGCTGCGACGGACTTCTCTCGCCTGGCGCAGAACTGCACCATGTGACCGGAATGGATAATTTTCACCAGCACATCATTGCGCAGAGAGACAGCAAAGTGTGAAAAAGGTTCTTAAATTAGTCATAGATCTTAGCTCATTTGGCGATGCATTCCATACAGTACAGACAGGCACACAAAGGGTTTACTCACCCATCAGGGAGACGTCCAGCGTGATGTCAAAGTTGTAGGGGTCCTCGTGGCGGAGGTAGGGGAGAGGGGCGGGGTCCTGGAACAGGGACAGAGAGACAAAAAAAATAAATAATAAAATGTCATTATCATGAAGTGCCAGGTGTTTTGTTTTTTTTGGGTTTTTTTTGGTAAAAGTTTAACGGTGCTCGCAACTGCATAAGGTCATATGAGCGCAGTGCCAGGTCTGCAGCATACATCAGCGAATTTGGTTTGTCATTCATTTCTTTGTTCATATGCTCTAAACAGTTTTTAAAACTGACAAAATCCTGCTTTTCCCCTGTCATCAATCGGTACATTCTATCTATTTCTCGTATTTCGTTTTCTATATTGCCTTCCTTATACATAGTTATAACTTTTTCTTAGTGATGTTTTAGTTTTGGTAAGAGAGTTACAAAACTTGCAATACAGTGAGGTCAAATAATTGCCTAAGAATAAAGGTGTTACAAGAAAATGACAAACAAGAAAAAGAAAGGAGGAGAGATAAGGACAATCATAGATTATGCTTGATAGGAAGGAAGGTGCAAACCACACCAGAGCACCCACCAACCACCCCCATACATGTTTGATAAGAAAGAAGGAGCAAACCACACCAGAGTACCCACCAACCACCCCATACATGTTTGATAAGAAAGAAGGAGCAAACCACACCAGAGCAGCCGCCAACCACCCATGTATCCTACCTGCTGCATGTTGGGAATGGCAAAAGGCTTGAGGGCGTCCATTGTGACCACCCAGGGAGATATCGTAGTTCCCAGATTTTTGGCTGTGAAGGGGCCGAGGGGCACATACTCCCATTTCTGGATGTCTCGTGCTGAAAAAATAAAAAGACGAAGTGAGTATAGTTTCAGTTTTGTAAAAGTTTTACGGCGCTTGCAACTACATAAGGTCATATGAGTGCATGAAACACAAGTTGATGCATTCACAAGTTCACAGCACGCCTTAATTTTGCTTAACAGTCAGGTGAAAAGGTTAAAAATTTTACTGTAAAAATTTCCGTCATTAAAAACAACAATTTACATTTAATCAAAAAAACAGTATTTACAGTTCACTGTAAAGGCCAATTTATGCAATCGAGAATTCTGGTGGGATCCATGACGAAGAACAGATTTTTCAAGTTTCTACATTTATAATCTTTCCTTCGGGTCTCTCAAAAGCCCAGATATCCTTTTAATAGGCAATGTGTTTGATGGTAAAATCTGTGTCACATCTGACACAGAAGGGTTTCTCTTCTCCCTGCAGAAGGTACCTATGTGTCAAGGAGGTATGTTGGATACGCAATAGAGTAAAAATAACTTAGTCTCTTCTGGAGAGGCCAGATGGGGTAGAGAACACAAGTTTATCTAAAACATTGAGACTGCCTGCTCTGATTTCTCCGCATTGCTCCACACGACGCAGCACGCTGAAGAGTTTAAAAACTAAATTCTGCAGGAACTAAAAATAATCGCAGACGCAAACATTTCATTTTTTACGTGTGCCCCTTATCAGCAGAATAAACATGAGCCCCCAGAAATAGCTTTTCCAGGCCAAATATTCTTTTTTTCTGTTTCTTTTTATATTTTACAGAAAGTATTCTTACATGGAGATTATATATTCTTCGTACTACTCACACACATAGACTGGAATTATTTCAAAACATTGAACTAAGAAAAATTGGAAACAAATAATTGAGTTCAACTTCTACAAGTCTTAGAGAAATAGGTCGTGCGGAAATTTCAAAATTTCGTTCACGCAAACTTGCTCCTTTTCATTTTAACCATGCCATATTGAAATGTGAGCATGGTCGAACCAATCAAACAGGATTGCTCCATTGTCGAGAAGACAAGTGCTCATCTTAGAGAGGTCTTCCTTTTGGATAGCGTTAGAAGTATTTAGAGAAAAGGTTAGCGTTAGGGTAAGCTAGGGGGAAAATGAGATATATGGTTGGGTTTTTTTATACACGAGATTATCTTGGAAAAGTGTTTTTATGTTCTTCTTGTTGTTGTTGTTGTTATCGATCCAGCAACAGCTGGGCTCTCGCCCTTCTGTCCAATGCCATGTAGTGATAAGTGCAGGTCTGCTGCAGTTGCTGTAATGTTCCATAGAGTGTGTTGTCTATGTTAGGTCTCGGAGGGAGAAGGGTAGCTCTGATGTCATTTAGGGCTGTGCAGTGGAACAGGTGATGCTCCACAGTCTCATATGCATAGTCACACAAGGGACACATTGGGGGAAGTTCCGGGTTTATTCTGTTCAGGTGGAAGGAAAGTGTTTTTATAAGCACAGGTTCAAATGTATATACAATTTTTGTTTCGTTTCTCACCACTCCAGTCATTCATGAGCACCATGCCAAAGATGTGATCCTCCGCTCTCTCCATGGGGATGGGCTCGCCGAGCTGAGTGGCCGGCCCAACGAAGAACGCCATCTCCAGTTCAAAGTCAAACAGACGGCACGGGGTCACAGACGGGGGTTTGGCTGGCGACGAGAACCGACAAGCAAAACGTAAATAATCTAATAATAAATAATAAGACAGACATAAGGAATAATAATAATGAACAAAATTAACTTAAATAATAAATGGCAAACCTGCAATCAAAGTTATGGCAGTATTTGCCACAGCTGTTATATTCTAGAGATGTCAACAATAAAAGGGATTTGTTAGTTATAGTAAAGAGTTTTTATGGAACTTGCAACACACTAAGGTCATATAAGTGCCGAAGAATACATGTGTTACAAGAGAGTAACTAAAACAAAAAAAAAGGAGGAGAGATAAGGATGGTAGATGTTTGATAAGAAAGAAGTAGCAAACCACACAAGACACAACAATAAGTCTGCTCACAGTCGTCAGGTCGCGTCTGCCCGTTTGGCCGTCTCATCGGAGTACCAGACACCACCACAGACGAGGAGCGGCCATGATAACCCACTGGCAGGCACGTCCTGTAAGGGAAGATAACAGTAATTATGGTTCATGTTCAGACACCTGTGCAATCTGTGTTCTTGTGGTTGAATAAAGAGAAGCACATCGACACGATAATGGTCATTCAGTGCAACGGGAAAAAGTAAGACAGACAAACAGAAACAACAGAGGGAAAAGTAAAGAAGTAGGACCTACCAGGGGCGCCCTCCAACCACACTCTGTGCAATCTATATGGACAATGATAAGAAGTTTTATATGGCACTTGCAGCACGATTAGATAAGTGCCAAAGAATAGAGGTGTTACAAAAGAGTAATAAACACCAAAAAAGGGAGAGATAAGGAGGATAGATGTTTGATAGGAAAAAAAGAGGAAAAACCACACCAGAGCACCCACCAACCACTACATTAAGTATTCAATTTTTTTTAAAAAAGAATATTTTTCAGAACAGTTTGTACCAGTTGGGGTTCAGAGCAGTTGCAGGATCTCTAAACATGCATCCGACATTGTAAGCGTGGTTCTTGGAGGAGTAGAAGTCAGTGTAGTCACCTGCAAGAGGTACAGAATACAATATGTTAAATATCTAAGTTGAAAAACAATCTTTCACTTTGCAGTGAACAAAACTTCTACAGTAAAATTGCAGGAAATCCTACAAAAAAAGATTAAGGTTTTGCATTTTTAAATCAAGGATAGCATAAATTGTTACACGAAATAAAAGTAATGCATCAACAACAGCTATTTCTCTCAGCACCTTCTCTAAATATTCAAGCACTCAAGATAAATGCTGAAGATAGATGAGTGAGTTACGAAAAAAAATCCAGACCTTGTTCTTTTTGGATCCCATGGAAGCGTACCCGATGGGACTCAAAATTTACGGATCATCTTGCCCAATACATCTTCCTTGTATATAACTGTTTTGATCTTTAAAAAAACGCAAAGCCTGGACAATTTTAGAAATCCAGATTTCCCTATTAATTTGGAAAATTGGCACCATTAAAAGATTTATACTACAACTCACCAATAGATGCAGGAATGTGCATGGTGGCAGTCTTCTGGGAAACCAGGGCTCTGAAAGTAGGACACGTGGAATCACATGACGACATGACAGATTTTAAAATTCAGTGTAACTGCTCTTACAAGACGAAGTTGTAGTCATTAATCGATTTTTTAAAATACCACAACTAAAACCCCCAGAATCAACGGATAGAAACAGAAACAGAGCTAAAGAATATAAGTCGGACCTACTAGACACCCCCCTCCCCCTAAAAAAAACCCCAACAAACAAACAGGACAGACCTCTTTAAAGTTAAACAAACAACAGATAAATTATGACTCTTAGAAGAGAAAGTAGAATAATTATTCTAATACAATCACAAACAGGAACAAGGTGAAGCCATTGGTGGTGAACAACGAAGGACCACAATCAATCTCAGTCTGCTTCTGTTTACCTCGACCTGAGGTCAGCATTGTCTCTCAGCACTGGCTCAGAGTCTGACAAAATCCTCTGAAGAGTTTCCCGAGCCTCCGACCAGGCTGCCCTTCCAAGACCCATGAAGGCATTAAGGGTGGACTGGAAAACAAAATATTAATAAATAAAATTTCCGGACATAATTATCAACATTAAAACATGACAAACAGCTTTTTCTAAAGACTTAAAAATGTGTGAAAATGTTTTTTAAAGTAGGAAAATCATTAACCGCATGGATCTTTTTTATTTAAAAACAATGATTTAAGGTGTGCTTTTGTCTTTTCACTTTGCATTGTTCATTACTTGAAAAGCAGAGAATCTAAATAATCTACAACTTAAGATTTACAACAGTTTTAAATATTTGGTTTGGATTCTAAAAACAATTCCACTTTAAATTTTATTCTTCTTGTGACATCAGAAATCTGTATCCGGCCTGTTGTCAAAACAGATGGAGAATTCAACATATATATATATATAATTATTTACCTGTTCAAAGACATCCTGCCTTCCTCGAAGTGCTGGTCCATCAAACAGATGCTTCACAACACTCAGGTCCAGAATGTATTCTCCGATCGCAACACCTGGTCGTCGCTCAGACTGCAATACACAGATGAAGAAACTCTTTAGAATTCAATCTTCTGTATTGCAAACTACAATTAAAAAAACACCCTACAACATATTTGCAGGTTAAGAGAAAATAAAAATTGATGTTCACGACACAGTTGATTAATTTTCTTTTGCATCCTCTTTCTTTCAATTTTTTGTTTGTTATTCAGTTTGACAATAACCATCTAACATCTGTTCAGTGTCATCCACTTCACATTGTTATTGGTTCTGAATTAGCTAAGCATTTGACCACAAATTTTAAAAAATTATTAAAATGGAGAAAAATGCAAAAGGAAGGTACTTTCTTTAAAAAATCTTTTAAAAATCAGTGTGTTGAGCAAAAAAAAAGAAGAAAAAAGTCAAAAAAATAAAAATAAAAATAATTGAGAAGTCTATTTTAACTAAGGTCAAAATTATGAGGAACCACAAATTACTGCAGTAATCACTTTGTGACCCATTCAATCTTCAAGGCATTACATCATCCTCAATTACAGGGGGATGCTGGGAAACTTAAAAATACATTGGAATCCGCTAAACTTAAAACTGCAGGACAGGACCTCTGGATTTCCTTCAGTAGGTTATGTGGGTTGCTCAAAAAGAGGAACAAAAATAATGGGTATTATTTACTTTCTCTTTATCACGTTTCGGATTTCATTTACCGTGTTTAGTTTAAGCAGACTCCACAACTGTTATCAGACGGGGAATGATGAAGGACTATCAATCTCAATGCAACCTATATATCCCCCTTTTCACCCCCCCCCCAGATTTGTTGAAACCAATCTTGCCTAGAAAAATACTCACCAATTTAAAATAATAAAAGTACACAGGACTTTAACCGCAAAATAGAATACAAGTTCTAAGGACACTATAACTTAATCTATATTATATAATGCATCTAGTTTCTAAGTTTAATATAGGCCTAATTAAAAGTCCCTCTGTCCCTTCACCAGAAACAGTTCTATCAAGGGAGTGCTGAGACCAAAAACCACCCATCCTCATTCAGTTCCTTTTAAATAATTTAAATAGGCAACCGCAATGTCATTGAAGCCATGCAGTTCGAAGTCCTAACCTAATAACAATGCCAATATTGGAACATGATACTTCAGCCTATAGCTTAGTTGAAAAGCATTGAAAGCTGTCATGACTGGAACTGACACTGGCATCCTGGCAGCGTTTGTGATCCAACTTATAACCTTCTAACCTTTGACTTTTGGAATCTGCTCTCTCTCTCTCGTGACATTATAACCCTACAACACGACTCTCACTAAAAAAAACTGTCTTTGTCTTTATGACAGTAGACTATAATGGATCTCCTCCGACGCTCTTTTTTGTGTGTGTGTGTGTGGGGGGGGGTTGTTTTACTGGATCTGGATCTGTATCTGTATCTAGATTCTAGATCTAATTAATCACCGGCACAGTAGACTGTTGACAGTGTAAGTGTAGCACGCAGTCACAGTTAGACAGTGAGGTAATCATGATCTAGGCCTTCCAGAAAAGCTATAGCATGGTATGAGGAAATAATTGTTGGCAACTCGTCTATTCTACACGAGAATAATTGTTTTAATGTTGTTTATTTAAAATCAGAAAGCACATATCAGTGGAATGTGGCAACATAAAGCGTACATGATAGAGGCAAAGTACGATCACTGCTACGAATCGTGGGAGGTCATGACACTAGTTTCACTCTTCGGGGGTGTGACAAAAACTAGCGTGGTGATTGGCTCTGCTGATCAAGCCACCTTGACCCGACTCGTGCACACTGAGACATTCGGCATTTTATTTACATTTCCAGCAATGGTTAAAGATACTTACGTTGTCTGGTGTTGAAAATATGCCATATGGCAAGTTCTGGATAGGGAAATCGCTGTCAGGAGCAACTGTGATGAAAGACATTTTGAAGAATGCGGTTTCTGCTAAAGCACTAGATCTACGTGTTTGCTGTGCCGGAGAAAGAGAGAGAAGAATGGGCGGAAGTGGTTGAGGGTCCTTGTGCCGGTGTGGCCAGGAAACGTGTAGTACAATTTGGCAGTAGGCCTAAGCCTCTGCAAATCGCGATAAAATTTCAATGATGCGGCAGTTTTTGTTTCCCCCAGTTTCCTGGTCGAGTTAAAAAATAAAACAAAACACATCGTTGTTTCTACGACTTCATTAAAACAATCACTGGTTTGAAACATGTAAACTTATCTGTTGCTCCTGCTACCTAATCCTGCCAGTTGTTTAAGAAAAATAGCAGTGGCAGTAGCATTAATTTAACTTGGCCTACAAGATAATTATAAAAATATTGATTCATAGTGTGTTGCACATAACTGATGTACTTATTTTGACAGATTTAAACTGTAAAAGATAAAAGTGTGTGTACGAGTGAACTTCTTTATTATGCATGTGCGTGCGTGTTTGATGGGAGGGTGCTAGTTCAAAGATAATCAAGGGTAATAATCAGCTCGGAACAATTCTGTTCTGGTAAATTCTTGGTTGTGTGCCTTGTTTCTTCAATTTGGACAATAGCATAAAAATTAATATTATAACAATTGACAGGGGATTTGATTCAAACGTTCGTCAACATCAAAAACATCAAATCATCATCATCATCATCATCATCATCATCATCATTGCAGCATACAGGATAAGAGCAGCAGCAGCAGTAGCAGTAGCAACAGGGGATGACAGTGTTTTCCATTTGACAAATTTTATTTGACTTATCTCATTTTGCAATGTGTAATTATACGAATGGCACGTATTTTTAGATTAAAATCTGTTCAAAAGAGTCAAAACAGAATTTATTGC